ATTTCGTTCCTTTGCTCCGGTTTTTATCGATGTGAACAGATCAAACCGCTCGAGAGAAACGAGCGTTTCCTTTAGTGTAGCCACAAATGCCTTGACTCTGCTGTTGATGGTCTCCAGAAAATGCTGTAGAAACTGCCTTAACTGTGACATGCCAAGTTTCTGTTTCTGTTCGTTTTGCCCTTACTAAGGTAGTTTATAAGTTGTCTATCTGTATATGTTGGTTTGAGTAATTATGTTATTTATTCGTTATTTATTTATATTAATTATGAAGATTGATATTATTTGATTGCAGATATTCTAATGCGCTTTTTTTTGTTTCCTTGCCTGCCATTTCACTGTGCATTTTAGAAGATCTTTTTTTTCTAAAGGGATCTGCTAAAAAGGTTTTAACTTTTATACCTAGAATAACACATGATCTTAACCATTTTATCCCGTGCAACCAACAGCTCTTACTTTTAGATGCAATCTCTTTTTCTACACACATTATTTTCTTAACTGTTAGCTATTTATAGAGTGCTTCGATAGAACTGTTTCAACTGTATAATTATTTACTATTCAAATAAAATATTTTCAAATTCAAGTGTGCCCCCACCCCTCTTGCTTCTCCCTGCCGGGCTGGCCCTGGGGGCTTGGGGGGGCTGGCACCCCTCTCCACACTGCAGCTGGCAGGGTGCCTCCATAGGCACCAGCCTGCTCTGCACCGTTTGATGAGATTAATTAAAAAGGAATTAAAGGGAGGACAAGAGTCGGGTGTGGCGTGGCTGGTCTGGGGGAAGCTGCCCCTGAGCAAAAGGGTCCTCTGGCTGTCAGCCGGAGCCTCAGCCCTGYCCCTGCTGCAGCCGGCACTGGGCACAGTCYGCCCTGTGCTCTGCTGCTGGGGAAAGCTGGCAGGGACCTTCCCTGGAAGGTGTTGCAGGRAAAACTCAAGGAGAGGCAGCACCTGTAAGCAGACAACTTGTAGAAATCCCTGCCCAGGAGGGCTGTGCTGTTTGCTGGGTGGCTGTCAGTGTGCTTGGCACTGAGGTGTGGGGTTCAGGGGCAYGGTAGAGCAGCGGCATCCTGCTTTAGCCCTGAGCTGTGGAGCCTGGTGCAAGGAAGGCCAGGCATTTGTCTGCTTCCTAGCARGGCTGGAGCCTGCTGCTGTCTGATCCTTGCACCCTGCAGTGGGATTTCTGCAGCATCTTTCTATARCTGTATATAGATACATACCTATATACTTAGACCAACTGACTGATCTCAATCTCTGGGGCTTGTGTTTGTATATGGAAATGTCACAGGTTTGGTCAGAATTGTTGTAAAATCTGTGTAAGTGGGGAAGGTGTGTGCTGGGTTAGTGAAATCTSTCACAGACAGGTGTTGCATGCACCTGTACTGTCTCCCTCTCTGCCAGCAGGAGAAGGTACAGAGCCAATCTCAATGGCATGCAAATGTGCCTGGCAGCCCCAAGAGCAAATCCCTGCTCCCAAATTGGTGTGTGAAGGGCCAAGGGACTGCTAGGACTTGGTGTGGGCAGAGGGGCTGCTCTGTCTCGGGGCAGCAATGCCTTTGAGGCTTTGGCTCCCTGGAAGAGTTTTCCAGTCTGTTCCTACAATCTTCTCTCACCTAAAGGCTCCTAACCCTGATTCACCATGGGGAAAGCAGGTGGTGGAGCTTCCTGGAGGAAAGTTTACCAGGAATTGCTTGAGTATTTTTGATGTAGCAAAGCTTGTAGAGAAAKAACATCTTTCTAGAGAAAGATTTTTTTKGKTKGKTKGKTTTTTTKRGKTTTTTTTTTYCTTGTTCAGTCAGGCTGAACAGTACCAGTGTATGGGTACGCTCCTGCTGTCTTGATTCCTAGGAAACCAACTTGGTTATGCCAGGTGTGACTTCAGGCATAGGCAAAGTTATGGTTTTAGCTGTAAATCAATACACTGGAAAAGAACACAGCCTGAGAGACAGGCAGCAAAGCCTGCCTGGCAAGAGGTGCAGTTTTGCTTTTCCTGGCTTCCCTGGCCTTGGAAAGCCCCAAATCGTGGGCTGTTGCAGATGGTGTCACAGCTGTCTGWGGACTGGGCTCTGTGCTCCCCGGGGGGACTTTGCCAACACACATGGCTGTCCTCTCAGGCCACTGGACGTCATTTCCAGAGCGATGCCCCGGGCATCCTCCGGAGAAACCTAAAGGCTCCATCCACACTGTCACAGCAGTGTCCCTGCTGAAATCCATGCTCGAAGWCTGTGGCACCAACAGGCCACAAAAYGCCTTTATACCRCTGTGCATTTCCTGATAGTCAGGTAAATCCTTRTCTGTCCTGGTAAGAATCAGTTGACATTGCTGGGGCCAGAATTCCCCAAGTTYTTAGAACTGTCTGGGTAGCCATGAGCCACTGACCCATTGCATCTCCTGCTGAGCAGAAAGTGATTAGTGGAGACTCCTGTGCTGGGGAGGAGTAAGGAGAGGTGGCAGTGGAGTACATTRGAAATGGCTGTGTTCATCATCCCATCCTAAAAGGGGTGTAATTTTCTTTTGGCATCACTGGGCTGCAGCAGTCTGGGCAGAGCTGAGGTGCCTTTGTGTCTGCAGCCTGTCTCCCCTTGCCTGCACCGCCAGGTCTTTGTGAGGGTGAGCCTCAACTGCACGAGAGTTTCTGGAGAGGGTCCTTTGTGAGGGTGAGCCCTGAATACCCGAGGGGTTTTTCAGGGCACCATCGGCACCGTTCCGCGTCTCTTGACACACTGGCAGTGAAGGGCATTGCACTGCTGTGACAGGTCACAAAGCCACCCGCTCACATCAGCCTCCTTTGGGACAGTATTTTGGGGATGGATCTGTCCCTGTCCCTCACCAGTTTGTCCCTTGCACCGTCCCACTGCCCAGGCCTCCAGCACTGGACCTCTGCTGGGCTCTGCCTTCTCCTGTGTCTGTGAGGTTCCCAGCCCACGTGTAGCTCAGTGGCTGTGCTGGGGGCCGAGCAGCGCGGCTGAAYCCGGAGCTCTCTCAGTCGCAGCTCCTGGGAATGCAGGAAGATGGTGGGTGCCATGTCCTGGCTACCCGGCTGGCCCGCACTGCACAAACAAAGCCTCCTGCTGTCAGCTAACAAATCGATTGCTGATGACTCTCTGTGCATCCAGCAGGAACAGGTTTGGGCACCATGGAAAATACTGATCCTGCCCCAAACATGACGCAGTGGAGGCAGCTGTCRCGGAGGCTGCTCACGCTCTGTGCATGCGGGCAGAGGGGTTTGCCCACCGTGCCGGAGCCTTCCTCATCTCCGAGCACCGAGAATGAAYGTGTGCTTCTGGGACGGAGTGTGAGCACAGGGGAATGAGCTGGGGAGATTAGGCAGAGGAACCTGCAGGGTCCTGAGCAATGAAGCGTGGATCCCTGAGTTGGTGGGGAGCTGGGGTGAGCTGCTCTGGCCCTCAGAAGCAGTCTGGAGGCTGTTTGTCCCCCAGGGTAGGTTTTTATGGGTTTTGGTACCAACACCATGGCCCCTCGCAGCTATCAGTGCAGTAGGGCACCTGTCAGCTGCCCCGCTGGATGGACTCACTGGGTAACACAGCTGAGCACAGCTCAAGRTTTTGGGGGACCTGAGGCACCCAGGCAGCACCCTTGGTGAAGGATCTGGGTGTGCAGGCGCATCCTGCACATGGCATTCAAACACCTCAGATCCTCCCATGCAGGTAAGAACCCTCATCAGGGTTTWAAATGGTTTTAATAAAATGTAATTTACAATCCACTTAACCAATGTCTGCCTCTGGCAGCATTTGATGCATTAATCATTGAGCTGGGCTGTGCCAAGTGTGGCTGGGCTGTCCTGACCAGCTCCAGGCTTGATTCTTATGTGTGCCGTTGGATCCGAGTTCTGGGCTGCCCCAGCGCTGCTCTGACCGTGCTGTTTTCTCCCCAGCAGGCAGGAAGGGACCGAAGCCGGGCGGAGCCGGGCACAGCGGCGGCAGCGGGAGCCCTACACCGGCACAGGGACCCTCGTAGGAATGCATCCTCCCAACACGGTAATTRGGACATTATTTTCAGCAGCCTGGTCCAGTTGAACCACCTGTTCCTCTTAAAAAAGAATCACTCTTTTTAAGCTTCAATAAAGCACCCTCGCAGCTCTGAAGGTGAGGGCATGCACAGCCCAGTCCGTTTCTGCCCGGCTCTTGTGCTGTGCTGCTCTGCTGAGGTTTTTCAGCCTTTTTTAGGGAATTGGGAAGGTGACAGGGAGGATTTAACCAGAGGAAAGGCTCTGCCTGCTCTGTAGCAGGCACTGGTACGGGGGAGAGAGGGAACATGGCTCAGCTGCAGATTAGAACAGGTTCTGCTTTCTCAGCCTATGGGACCACAGTGTTTTATTGGCTCATTTTACAGTTTTTTAGAGGGAAATTGCCTGTAGCACACCACCAGTTCAATGCCAAATGTGAAGAAAATGCTGTACAGTTGGGGATGTCTGAATTGGGAGGTTTTGGTTTAGTTACACACACACAGAAGAAAATCAGAATTTATTACGTACAATAAATTATGTTTTGCATTTGCCTCATCCTGGAAGTGTTCAAGGCCAGGTTGGACRGGGTTTGGAGTGACTTGGGATAGTGGAAGGTATCCCTGCCTATGGCAGGGGGCTGGAATGAGCTGAGCTTTATTGGTGCCTTCCATCCCAAACTATTCTAGGATTCTGTGATAAATATAAAAATCTATTCCTTTTGTAGCAGTATATTCTATATWGATGATCTATCTAGGTAGACTTCAGACTATGTAGACAGTTTATAATGCATTATGTGTATTATATAAATGCATATTATACAATATATACTAATATATATGTTATATATTGTCAATTAATGCATATTAAATACATTCTATACAGTACATAATATCATATATGCATTAATATAATTACTGATACATTGCCAATATTGATGTAATGAAACACTATTGTTTGAAAGGAGGTTTTGTCAGCTCTGCTGCCAGGATTTGTGTTCTGTGGAGGACAGAGTGTAGGTGCACAGATGTGTGCACACCTGGCATATCCACTATACATACATGGTCTGTTATTTATTGTATGTATATAGTGCACTGACTATTCYTTGATGCACATTAGATATGTGTCAAATATTACACGTTCATTATAAAATGTTATACAGAATTCATACATTGCTGATATGATTTATATGATTTCTTATACATATATATATACATATATATACATATATATGCAGACAATATTATAGTTTGTAAAGTAATGTTATAGTTTATGTCATTATGTGTACATATAGCTAAAATATACACCGGGGATGTGTGCATATGCAGATATACACATATAATATAAATGTAGTATGTTGTATTTATGTAACCTATAACCCATTTTTTTGATAAAATTATTACCTTTATATTCAATATTTAATATTAAAACAGGTATTAATGAGATAAAACAGTGCATATATACGACATTGTGTAATATATAATGCATATCACATTACATACCTTGTATTATACATGGATGTAGATCACAGATTACATAGATTATCCTTAATGTAATAATATATACATATTGCATCCATGTGTATTTAATACCTATAATATAGATTCTAGCTAATAAAACATATAGATATATAATATCAAATATTATATATAATTGAAATACTATTGCATGTAATATACTGAACATAAGATACCTAATATATTTTGTATAATTATATTAATATATAGCTACAGGACTATTAATAGGTATAGGGGCMTATTAATAGGTATAGGAATAAGATAATACCTATACAAATGTTTGTTAAAAATGTTAGGCAYCCTTCTAAAGCTGAAGGAAGGCACAATTAGAAGGAATATTGGGAGGAAATCCTTGGCTGTGAGGGTGGTTTAGCCCTGGCACAGGTTTTCAGAGAAGCTGTGGCTGCCCCATCCCTGCAAGTGTTCCAGGGCAGGTTGGATGGGGCTTGGAGCAACTTGGGATAGTGCCTGCTGTGGCAAGGGTGGAGTAAGATGAGCTTTAAGTTCCTTTCCAACACAACCCATTCTGGAGCTCCATGGTAAGTATMAATTAATTTATATATTATTTAATTAATTATTCTTAATGCCATTTTGGTGGCTGCTGCTGCAGCTGGAGGAGGTGAGGGTTCCTTGGGCCTGTGTTGCTGCCCTGTGGAGGGTGCTGAGCTGTGCAGGAGCCATGTGCTCTCGGTGTTCTGGCTGTAGCTGCCCCTGTACCAGCCTGCTGCAGGGGCAGTGAGGATACACGGCTGTGCCAGCCCTGGGTGAGGGGCACCGCCCGCTCCGAGGGCTGCCAGCACAGCCCCTGAGCACTGACCCCTGCTTGGCAGAGTAGCTGGGCCCTGCCTGTTTTCCAGCTGCACACGAGGGTGGTGCTGGGCCTGGGGCAGGGATCCTCCTTGGGAAAGGCAGGTGGAAGCAGGGCTCCCAACGGCTCCATTGTGTGTGCAGTTATTTCTGCAAAGGAAGCTTTATTTGGAGCCATCTGGATTAACTCTGTTTCTGGCCAGAGCACCTCTAATTTAGGGGAGGACTTTAGGAAGGCAGATTTCCAGGTGTCTTTTCAGACATCATTATGGCTGAGTGCAGGTCCTTTCATTTGCTTAAGGATTGTCTCTGTAGAGAAGAAAATCACCATTAGAAACATCTTGTTTTTAATGCTGATGCGAGGGGTTTGGCCATGAGGCATTGCCCGGAAGCAGGACATTGGCGTCTGGGGGTCCCAAGGGTCTGTCACTGTGCTTGGTGCCATGGGCAGGGCTGSGCTGGCAGGAGGTGCCATCCTGCAGGGTGGCAAAGGGCACTGCTGCCACATGGGGCACGACCATGGGTGCCCATGTGTCAGTCACAGCGCAGTCTGAACTCCTCAAGAGCACTCCAATCTGGAACACTGCTGCTGGCTCTGCACCCGGCGGCTGTTCCTGCAGCTGTGGCTCCAGCAGAGAGGGACAAAGCACGCRTCCAGCAGGGACTGTCCCTGTCCCCTGTGAGCCAGCCCTGCACACCCACGGCACCCGCAGCAGCTGGGCCCAGGCAGCACCACTGGCATCACTGAAGTTCCAGCCCCGGCACCTCCCGCCATCCGCCACACACCACACAGGTACGCGCCTTTTATTGCTCTGGGGAGAAATTTTATTGTGAGCAAAGATTTTATTCATTTTGTAAGGGATAACAGAGTGGCTTTGTCATCCAGTTCAGGGTGCAAAACCACAATGGAATTTATACAAATTAATAATTTTTTAACATCAGGAAACACAATTTTCATCAAATTCTTCCCTGAATTAGAGATGCATATTGCTCTAAGGAGAAAGGGSTCCTTACTCAGAAGAATGCCTTTGAAATTGTTTCAGACCAGCTATTGGATAGCTAAGGGCCAGGCAGCCTTGCCTGTCCAGCCCTGAAAGTAAAATAAATTAAAATACACCTTATATTTTCTAAATTCCTTCACTGACAGAAAATGAATAGAAAGCAAAATCCARCTGTGAAGCAGAAAATCAAACTGGYCATCTGAGCCCTCAGTGACAGAGGCTCCTTCCCACAGCTGTACTGGGCGARTTCCTGTCAGGGGCCAGGAGCTGCTGCCCCTCGGGCCCAGAGCACACGGCAGAGCTCAGGGGCCACCTCGCCATCACTGACCATGGCTGGAATGTGCTCCACAGGTACACAGCAGCCCTGAGCCAAGCACTGGCACTCAGACAGACAGATGGCCATAACACCAACTGTAAGTGCAAAAACAAATGGGGATCCAACRGGCATTTCCCAAAAAATGCAATCCCTTTGCTTAAAGCAACTCCCATTCTGTTGGGAGGTGTGTGTGTGAGTGCCCAGGATCAACAAAGCAGCAGTAGGACAGGGCTCTTTGCTGCTGGATCTGAGATTTTTGTTGCTTTAAGATACTGGGGATTTAGCTATAAAAATTTTCACCCCATTAACCTACAACACGTGTAGACCAAAACACATCAGCTACTGCCAACACGAGCTCTGCTCACTACAGCAGGTGTTGGAAGACACCTCGAGTCCTCAAAGGCCTTCAGCTGTGTTGTCCCCCAGCTACAGACAGGTCACAGCCTGCTKGGACAAGGTGAGGAGGCTACCCAGTTCTTCACATTGTGCTGGGAAGGGGTCATAGCAGGAGTGTGGCTTTTGCTCTTCTACAAGGGATTTGCTTATTTTTGTTTCTCTGGGGAGCAGTTCCAGTGCACAGCCATCACATACACCATGGAAAGGCCACAGTGCTTCCACGGCAGGACAGCAGAGACTGGGGAGCTTCTCCCTCATCCACCTGTGTGCCAGCAGGGAACATTTAGGACCTGGCTAATCATGGGAAAACCTCAATTTAGAAGAAATTCCCTAATGCACAGGTAAGTGCTGCCTGGAATGACTAAAGCAATGCTCTAAGGGTACATTAAATAACTGGTTTCAGTGCTGGTTCACGACCCGTGGCTGCAGTGCCTGCGCCCAGGCATTCAGGGTCCTTGCTCACCTGGTCCCAGTGCAGTCGTGATGGTGACACAGGTGACACCTGATCCCCAGCCATGTGTGTGTCCAGACTGGGGAAAGGCCATTTCCCAGAGCAAACCCCTGGCCCGGCCCCTTCATGAYGTGTTCACGCAGAATTGCCCGTTCTGATCTGTGCTCAGGTGCCTCGGCTGCCATGGCCGCAGCTCTGTGCTCCAGGGCCTCAGCTGGATGCCTTGCTGAGGGCACTGGCGGAGCGGCGGAGCTTCCCAGAAACCCTGCTCCTGGAGGCACACGGCAGCACGGGCGAGGGCGGCTCCACCAGCTCCACACCGATGGTGACAGTGAGGTCAGCGCTTGCACTTGTGGTGAGGCAGCCTGGAAAACAGAGCGGGCAGGGAAAACCCAGGTGAGGACAGAACAGCCTGTGCGCCTCAGAATAAGTGTGGCACAGCACAGCCCTTCCCTCACCTCTTCCCAGCTTCTCCTGGGGATCACTCAGGTGAACTTGACCTTTATAGGAGAAATCTCCAGGCAGCTGAAGAACTGCCATAGCACACTTCACAGAGAAAGCAGGGATTTCTCTTTCCCAACTCACAGAAGTGAGGAGCAGTGAGGCCATGAGGGGCTGTCAGCGTCCAGGTGAGCAATGAGTCCCTGAGTGTCACCCCCTTTTGGTCTCACAGCCCCTGATGGTTCTCAGGGCCCCAAGAGCCCCATGGGAGGGATCCTGTTCACTCGAAGCTCCCAACAAACACACAAAATAGGTCTGTGAGGGTGATACAGAACTGGTTTTTGCTGTGTGTCACTCAACAGCTTTTGTGTATTTGGCCTGTTACGGAGAGCTGGAAATGAGCATCTCTAGCATGAGAGCTGGCATGGAACTCTCCCTAGAAGTTTCCTTAACCTCTGGAAAAATCCTAAAGAATAATTTCTTCCAATTCCACAACATAACAGGTACCCTTGTTACTGGTGGCATACGGTAACCACTGGGGAAGGGTCTCAGGGGGCCATGGCTATGTGGGGTTTCGCCTTGCTGTTGAGTCACCTGTCGGTTATTCCCCAGAGGCCAGGCGTGCCCAGGCTAGCTGAGGGGGGAACAGGTGAGCACATGGTCATTAAATGAGACACTAATGACCAAAACCAGGTGACACCCTGCCCTGCTTCTGCTGCTGAGGGCTGGACCTGTCCCAAAGCATTTCCCGCGGGAACACTGTTTCATCAATTCCCTCAGGAAACAGTATTTTTAAACCAKGTTGCACTTCTCTCCCAAAGCGTAACACAAGTTTTTTTATTACAGGTAGGAAGGAGAAGGGACATCCTCACAGCCAGGCAGGGAGAGCACAGGGAGATTCTGAACCTGCGCCAACGGCTGGCGCTGGTGCCACCTCCTCAGAACTTGTGATGGTTCTGTTTTGCAGAAACAGACTTAACTTCCAATGCAACAACTGACTCCATCCTCGGCTTGTACCTTTATTTGCTCTTAGTTCCTGTGCCTGGCCAGGCTGCAGTTCTTCAATCCTCTTTTCACCTTYCCTAGCCCAGGTAAATCTCAAACATGTGCAAAATGCCTCAAAGTGCAGCCAGGGCCTTGGCTGAGGCTGCCCATGGCTCAGCTATCCCCTGGGCACAGGTGAGCAGGGCAGTGTCCTTGCAGGACAGGTGGGRACATGGCTCTGGGTCTTTGTGTCAGCAGGACAAGCCCTTGKCTGCTGTCTGAGGRACAGACACATCCCAGCTCTGCTGCRCTTYCAGYGTGAGKTATAACCTGTCCTTCTGCTTGAGCAGCTCTGGATGTTTGAGGGACTCAAAAAGAGGAGTGGAACAGCAGCAGCACAGCCCCAAGTGTGAGCCCCCTCAGCCTGCTTGCAGCCCTGCGTTTGCATTTCAAAGACAGCCCTTACTTACCAGATTGGTTCTCTGAGACAACTGACTGAGGGGAAATAGCACATTTTWAAAAGGTGGAAAGTGTGACTTAGCCTGTAATGGCATTTTCTGTGAAAAATGCGGAGCTGTCAATTTTGGATTAAAAACAAAACCTGTGGTGCTATTGGCTGGGGAGAAAAGTGTGGGGGAGGGAAGGGCTGTGAGGGAGGTGTTGTACTTGACATTCCTGCAGTGAGGCAGAATGGCAGATGGTCAAAATAATACAGTTTTCTCCAAATGGACGAGCTGAAGCAATGCTCGTGGAGTGCTAAACAAAGCCGTGTGTGCAAAACAGGCAGGTGGGGCTGTGGCCAGGCACACCAYGGCCAGGAGCACCCACGGCACATCCACCTCTGAGCCGGGGCATTCCGTCACTCCTGGCTTTCTTCTGGTGTATCCCAAGCTCTGCAACTGCCTCAGAGCTCCCCGAAACCACTGTGATTGATGGGGAGATGGCAGCTGCAGAGTGCACAAGCAAAAGCCACCCAGATAAAGGCTTCCATACAAATAATATAATTCCCCTCTCAAGCTGTCTGGCACAGGCTCTAATGACTTGGCCGTCTTGCAAGGGGGAGCCTGTGGAGTCAGAGAGGAGGCTCCGTGTGTTTGGCCGGGCCTGGAAGATGTTGGGTGCACCAGCAGTTGGGGTTAGGATGCCCCTGAGGCTCAGCTCAGGTTCATTTTGCAGTGTGACAGAGGAGGGTGTTTGCTCCTACACTTTTCCCAGAGGGTACTGGGCCAATATAAAAAGACCAGTGATAAAAAACAAATAGCAGATTGGAAGTAAAAAATAATAAATGACAGCAAACCCACCAACACCAGTGTCTGACTCGTGGACTAGTGAAGCCCTTAAAACTTGCAATTTAGCCAGGTAAGTGGAATTTTCAAAAAGGTGAAAAAAACCTACCAAAAGCTGCCCTGCACCTGCTCCCTGGATGTCTCATGGGTGAGCACAGCCACAGCGGAAGCACCACRCAGTTCTGTAGGAACTGGCGACAGGGGCCAGGTTGGCTCCTGGCAGTCCTGGCAGTTCCAGCTCAGGTCACACACACGCAAACAGGCCCAGCCATCACCAAATGCTTCCCTGGCTCGCGGGGCACAGGGCACGAGCAGACAGGGACAGGCAGAGACAGACCCCAGCAAACTGCACATGGAGGAGAGGAGGCAGAGCCACATGTGGAGCATGGGAGGCTCGAGGCACACGCGGAGCAGAGCGGAGGAGGCAGAGCCAAACATGGAGCGAAGGAGGCACGAGGCGCACGCAGAGGCAGAGCACAGGAGGCAGAGCTGAACATGGAGCAGAGGCGGCAAAGGAGGAGGAGGAGGAGGAGGGGAAAAAGAGCTGTTAGTGATGAAGCGCAGTAGCAGAGGGGCCTGCGGGAAGCATCGCTCTTACCTGTGGCCATTACTGTACCGAAAGCGTTAACACTCTAATCTAAAGGGAGAGAACAAAAGCGTGTCAGTGCAGGACCAGCACCCCATCACTGCTGCGCTCACACCAGCCCAGCACGGCACGCCCCACTAACAGTGGGAAGGGGAGCTCCCCTCAGCCCTCAGGGATCTGCAGAAACACGGACCCACGCACTTCCTCCTTGGGTCTGCGGATTGAAACAATCACGGGAGGGAATGTTGGCAAAAATTGGAATGAATAATCATTGTCAAACCTGTTACCATGAGATGGTGGGATGCAGCGGCTTCACACCTCAGCTCCATCTCAAGTACCATTGCTGGTCACACCATGTCAAACTGGGTAAAATCTCTGTGACACTATAGCTGGGTTAAAACTGCAGGAAGTGAGCAGTGTAACAATGCTGGTGCCACATAAATTTCCAGAGGGGGAAGTCCTCGAGTGCRTAAAACCCATCCATGGGCAGTCACACACCTGCACTCAAGACAAGACGTGCACTATGGAAGGCCTCTCACAGGGAGGGAGCATTAAGCTTTAAAAATACATTTCTTGCAGGAGGGATTAAAAACAGAGTTAAGAATATAGATAAAAGCACTTTAAATGTAGGGTTACCTTGCAGGAAGCTAGAGAGACATGTTATATTGTATCTTAAATCCACTCCACAGAATAAACCTGGTTTCTTCCCCAGGGCAGGGGCGCTAGGAATGGCCTTTTAGCCACTTCTAATGAAGCAGCTGAACATCCCTGAGAGCAAGGGTGGGTCTCCATGATCTGTAAGGATCCTGAAGATTGGTACTTGAGAAGACCCATGAAGTTTTCACATGGGCTGTGACCTGTTCCAGCCCCCCATTAACCTTTCAGCCAGGACAGGTCTGTGGAAATCTTTGTTTTCCTTCCTAGTAAATGCAAAGGTAGTAAAATTTCAGAGAGAATCATTGTAGTGAATCTGCTCAGCAWTCCTGCTTCCATCTGCCAAAGACARGCTCAAAGTACACTGTAAGTCCTGAGCCTGTGTGGAAGAGCCTATGGATAACTGAAGCTGGGTTAATCAAAGCTGCACACTTCCTGCAATACCTTGCAAAGCTTTAAGTGACACGGTATCTGACACTACAGGTTAATCAGGGGCAGAACAGACACTAAAACAGCACCCGCAGCTCCCAGCTCAGGTGGGACTGCCTGGCACCACCTTGGGCCCAGCCTCCACGGTTTGAGGGACTTGGAAATATGCCTGAGATGTACACACTGAAGTTTAATTACTCACAAGTTGGAGCAGCTGCTGATTAGTTCTGCAAGGCTCAGCCTCAGCCAGGGGGACCTGTCAAGCGCTGGGAGTTTTGTGGGTGTCAGAGGCAGAGCAGCCCAAGCCCTCAGCCCGAGCCCTCTGCATGCGTGTCCYGGTTCTGCTCCGCCTCTGCTCCAGGTCTCTGCCTGCGCCTCAGCGCAGAGGRAAAATGTGAAGGGGCCACATTGCCCGGAGCCTTCTCGGAGCTGACAGCTCGAGCAGCTGGAGCTGTCACCCGGCAGAAGAGATGGGCCTGTCAAGCTCGTATTTTCTTCCGTCCCAGTGCTGATTACTGGGATGAGCCCTCCCTCACTACCTTCTCTCCCAGAGAGCGTAGCTGAGGGAGCACCCTCTGAGCCAATCAATTACATGGCAAAGGCAGGGGTCCAGGCTGGGAGCCCTGATGTGGCTCACACTGCCTCACTGCTGGCGATCCTGAGGGAACACCAGGCTTGACAGGGAAGCAGTCCCCGCACCTGCCCAGCCTCGGGGGACAAGTTTGGACTGTCCACCCTTGGTGGTGACACAATGGACAGTGCCCCACACACTGAGCAGGCAGCCAGTTCCTTAGGGCTCTGCAGGGATGTGGACCCTCCAGAGCCAGGCCTGGGCTCCCGAGCATACACTTGCATCAGCTTGTTCAGCCACAGGAGCTGGAGGAGGGACAGAGCTGCTGCCCCCAGCGCTTTGTGGTAACTGTGACACTGCCAGACCATTCCTGACCCTCACAGGGACATTCAGATTTGGACAGAGCACTGAGAACCAAGAGCACACGGGCAAGGAGCAGCTCCCAAATCCGTTGGTGCCCCACAAGGGCAGCCCAGCTGGGACAGGCTCCAGTCTGCCGAGGATGAGGAACAACCTGGATTAGACAGGGGAAGCCAGACAGGTCCCTGTGCYTCATCCTGAATAGTCCTCACAGGGAAGCAGGGAGAAGAAAAAACCCTCAAGTCCTGTACCCTCCTGTGGTAACTCTCCTGGCTCCTCTGCTCCACTTCACTCAGCTTTTCCTCTTTGTTCACTGCCTGGACAACCTCCCCCACCGCGGCAGCACTGCACAGTGTTCCATCTCACCTGGCAGACCTCACACGTGCTCCGTGCTAGCAACAATCCCCTCTCCTACAAGTAACCAGGACACTTAGGAATTCCCTAAGTCCCATATATTAGAAACAAATTGTTCCGTTTCAGGCAACACTGACACAGATCAAAYCCGACCCTCAGCACGCACCGCATGTGCTGTGAAACCATGGCACAGCTACTCAGCTTCAGATGTGTATGTGTTTAATATTCCCAGAAAAATAGGCAAAATTCTCATATATATGCAGAACCTGGACAAAGATCTGACAAAACACCCTACAGAGCTTCAATGAAAAAGACAAAAGGACAAAAAACCCAAAGCAAAAAAACAAACAAAAAAAAAACAAAAAAAAAAAACCCCAAAAAACCAACCAAACTGAAGCTGAAGGAATCCTTGGCTCAGTTACCATTACAAAGAGTATCAGTCCTTCTTAAGACACCAGTTACTCTGGGTTTGGTTCTGTTTCTGCCGAAAATAAATTTTAAATCTACATGTCCAATTCAAATAATCCTTTTGCTTTAAAGTGGGAAAGATAAAGCTCAGTACTTAACAAAAAGTGGTTTAAAGCAAACCAGATCTTGTTCTCTGTACATTCAAATATTTTMTACAAGAACTTTACACATGTAAAAGTCCAGAGACAAAAGAAAAGCATGTGTCACCTTTGCAACAAAAAGGCTGCAAAATCTCGGGTTTATGTAAATCAGCAAGCATAGCTCCTGAGGCTTTAAAACCAGGGAATGCTGAAAACCTCTATAGTTCCTCGACTCAAGTGTTGCTCCTGGGCAATGTCATAATATTCATTAAAGAATCCATTTATCAACAGATACCACATGTCCAAGTTTTCCAGCACAGTTTTTCTGATGCTCCACTGAAAAGGATGCTTTAAAAACATTAAGCTGGAAAGAATCTGAGATGCTTTCCCTGCCCATTCCACACTATCCATTAGCAACTAAAAAAGCCAAGATTTACACTATATCCTCCCTGATAACGTTGAGTATTGTGCTTTATTTTCCAAGTCATTAGCATGCACAAGAATGACCTCATGGTGAACAGATGCACTTGGATATGGCAGTGATTAGATCAGTCCTCTCAGCAGTCAAGTGTGCCCGTTCCCATTAACTCCTGAGGCGCCGGTGGCAGCGCTGAGCTCGGGGGTTCCCTGGAAAGCGGGAACCTGCCCTGACGAGCACAAACCCCTCGGACAGAATGCTTGTGGTGGGAAAGCTCTGACTTGGGAGTTATCCTGGTGTCTCTGGCCCCTTCAACTTCCTAAGGTTAACACCGTGCTTTTGGCTGCTGATCTTACAAGAAAACRGCTCCAAGCCCCAAGGAACATGAGCCACAGAGGCAGCTGAAGTCAGGGCACTGTTCTGCCCACTTCAGCCTCACCAATTTTTTTAAAGAACACACAAATATATTGTTGAATGACTGTTTCTGGTTTTGGCTGAGGGAGCAAGAACAGCAGCTTAAAGCCCGTCCACTAAAAGGAGAGAAATCTTCAGAGGGAAAGGATGAAAATAATTCAATAGTGTTGGATTATGGAGGATTTCCTGGGCTGCCTCTCAAACCCYGCCTAATTAAAATACAGCATGTAATGCACCAGTTTAACAACAAAGGGCCCTATTCCCAGCTTTTGTTCCTAATCTGCACATCCCCTAACTGAGTTCGGGGATGGCCATTCTGCCTACRCGGCTGCACTTTCAACACTGAAGATATCGGGGCTATCTATGATCTGTACAGGGAGTTTAAGGCTCTGCTCCTGGAAACAGCAAAGGAGATCAACTGGACAATCTTCCTGCAGAAAATGTAGCACCTGCAGGACTGGTGACAGGGAGACTAAGCCACCTCTCACTCGAGTCTGGGGATGCATCCCGAGGGGCAGCATCAGAAAACACAAGAACATCCAGTTCCAATAATTATATCAYAGATCAGCGATACCCTGGTAATGTGTCACTGAGAGCTGTTTGATTCCTTTAATATTCCTGATTTTTCCTTACACTATGTTAACTCCTGAGAACAAACTGCACTTAGATAAGCAGCAGCCTTACTCCCTGACCCTATCTGCTGCACATGTGTTCACAGAGTGACAGGATCATACCTGAGGGGCATTGTAAGAATCAGATCAGATGAGAATTAATTTTAAATTTATCTGAGCAGTTTATGTTCAGCAGGGTTAGCAGYATCAGCTGGCTTGTCACCTGTGCCATCTCCATGCGTCCCACAGAGTCATCAAGGCTGGAAGACCTCAACAAGCCCAGTGGCCAACCCAGCATCACCAACATTACCCCAAAACCATGTCCTGATGCCTCCTGAACACTTCCAGATATGGGGACCCCAGTGCCTCCCTGGGCAGCCCGTGCCAGTGCCTGACCACTCCTTCAGGAAAAACGCTTCTTTTTATTTACTGTTCCCCGATTCATTTTTGCTGTTTCAGAATAGAAAAATGCCCTCTGTATTCCTAAGTGGCAGCAAGGTGATTCCTGCAGGTGCAGGACAGGTGGATCTATGCCTGAGCAGGCCTGGCCAGGGAAGAGCAGAGCTGCCAGGACTGCATCCAGCCTCCCTGCTGACTGCTAAGGGGCATCTGATGGAAAACATATCCCCATGGCCACAGCTGACACTGCCCTTGCTCATCACTGACTAAATATGCAAGAGAATCAGCAGGTAATGTGAGAAGACTCTCTGAAGCGGAGATTCTGACACCAGAAGTCATGGCTGGCCTCCAGTTTGTGAGCGAGAAATTAATTCTGAGGCTCAGAAGTATGAAAATTTGGACCTGACTGGGGCAGGCTTTGCACTTAAAAACAATTAAAATAATGAAATCATACCCGGGTACTTGTGATTTAACAGTGTTCTGAAATGCTCAGTTACTAGGAAACATTTTTAACTATGTTTGGCATACACAGTTTATCCTTCAGAAAGTGGGGCTGCTGAGGAGTCTGCCCTGTCTAACCACATTTGACACAACAACATGAAAAAGAACAACGCAAAAATAAAACACAACTATGCACAGAGCAAAACATTTAAAATATCCACGTTTCTATTTGCTGATACGTCGACAGAAAAACAATTCAAGTGCTATCAACCAACCCTGGGCACGCGCTGCGGTCCTATTGAAATGGGTGATTTTTTTGTCTCAGACTTTTGGCAGAGTGTATAAAAGAATTTAATGCACAGCTGTTCTACTTTTTAATGTAGGAAACATTAATCAAAGCTTTAAGTTATAAGCTTTCCTAGCGTTGTTTAGTATTCCAGTTCAGCAGAGATCAATAGATCCATCCCGCGTTCCCTGACGCCTCTCCAGGACGCAGAGGCGCGATTATGTAAATGGCCCCAGCTTCCTCCCCTCCTGCCAGCGCTTATCTCCAAAGCCTTCTGCCTGCTGCTCCTGGCCACCACTGCCCGGCCAGCACAGGCCTCTTATCTCCTCACAAAGCTCTGAGCACGCCAGGATCAGAGCCAGCAATGCTAGACAATGCTGCACTGCTGGTTTTATTCCTAAGTGACTTATTTGAGCAAATTTAATTTCTTCCTTCAGTGTTTCAGTTTAGATGGAAGATATCTGCTAACAAGTCAGGCTAAAGAGAAATAGAGCAGATGTCCTGCAACRTTTATACAGGTTGAAAATAATCTATTCAACAATCCAAAAGAGGAGCAGGGAATGATTAGAAAGTGCCAGTGTCACCCTAGTAGTATCAACGATGGATTAAGCAATCTGTGTTAGAGAGTCCAGCACATGGTGACCAGACACTTACTGGATGCTGGAAAAAAAAAAGTATTTTGAGGGCACTAGAAWTGTGCATTTCAGAGCCAAAGCTCCCTTTCAGGAGAGGTTCACTTAAACTCAATCAAGCGGGCTGGACAGCGATTGTGACTGCACACTAACTTAACCCTCCACAAGGCAYGCGAGGAACAAATTCCCGGAGTTCGGCACAATGCTGTCACCTCTCAGCAGGCCGATGACTGATGAGCACTGATGTGCACACACACACCCCACATATACCCACACCCCCATTACAAACCCCRCAGAGGCTCCAGGCCAGGTGCTGCAGGGCAGCCTGCAATGTGCCTGCCTGCATTGAAGGGATGTGCCCGCATCCCRCACGCCGCTGCGATTCCCTAACAGCACCCCGTTCCTGCGTTTCTTGTGCATTAATCCCTGACCCTRGTAGCTCGGCAGCATAATCCCCATTTAGCATTTGCAGCAGCTTCCCCTGCGAGCAACTATTTTTGATAAGTGAGCCCCGATTCAGGCCTCGCTTTTGAACAACATATTCCCAGCTCAGCAAGAACCCGGAGTCCTGAATGAGCTGGAGCCCATCACTGCGAGAAAGTTCATTAACCTCGCCGGAGTTGGGGGTTAACAGGATAGCTGAAGAAAGGAGCAGTRTGAATAGCTCTGATGCAAAACAAATTAAAATGAATGTCATCATTGCTTTTGATATTCATTAGTTGATTCAGGGGAAGAATAGTCTTCTTAAATTTGCAAGCATTTATCTACAAAAAACAGGTGTACATCTGCTGCTCAAGTGCTTCTTGGGGCTACAGAGAAGAATAAYGTGCAGAGACTCACCAGTTCCACCGAGGGAGTAGCTGGGAGAGGGAGAAAAGACCTGAGCGGCAAAATCCTCAAATGTCATCACTTCTTTGTGGTTCTGGATGATGGCTTCGAGATACAGAGCTCTCTCCTCGTAGCTGTGATGCCCCGTTAAGGAAAGGTGTGTGCAGAATTCAAGGCTGTCCCACAGCACCCCTGAGCACCGGCCCCCAGCCCCACATCCATTCCAACTGGGCTGGAATGGGGAGGGAACTGGACCAGAACTGCCCAATGGTTCTGAACAGGAGCAACAAGGATGGGATATATTCAGGGCTGTAAATTCAGRGTAACACCTTTGAGCTTCCTGACTGAGAAGCTGTGACTTGGGAGCTGCCGAGTGCAGGAGCAAAGCCCCAGACCAAAACCCACCATCACAGACAGGCTGTGGCATTACGGGAAGCTCCTGGCACACAATATTCTTGTTCCAATGACCAGATAAGTAAATGGATTGGAGAGAAAAGCTACAGGACAGAGAGGTACAACTCCCCCACATTCATCTGATTGCTGGACTTCTTAGAAGAAATTAGGCACAATAAACACAATTCCAAAAGCATGACGGTTATATTTAGGGCAGGTGCTAGAAGGTGCAACCTTATGCATCCCATATAAATGATGCAGAGTGGACAAACCCAGCCCACAACTTGCATGCATTATGGCCTGAATAATACAAACAACAAAGCGAGCTAACATCGAGACTATTGCCTTTTAATTAAAACTCGGCAACCTGGAACACACAGCATTCAAATGTGTAATCAGAAACCAGTCACCAATAAAACTTACAAGCGTAACAAGCTGAAGCAACTTTCCAGCTGTCTTAATAGGACCCCTGCTTGCGGCAGCCTTTCACAGCAGAGAAAGCAAATCTTCCCCTTTTGTGTGCAGCTTCTGTCTGCTCAGAAGGTGAATCATACACTTCCAATAACAGGATAACGCCTGGGACAAATCTACAATGGGCTGGAGAGCCTCACGTATGAATTAGGGCTTGCAGGAGCCAGGATGACATCTCATTCTCCGTTTCCTCAGTGAAAACAAAAGTTTTCAGCGCCTCATTGTGTTTCTGTTATGGGGAAATGCACTCGAGCCTCTGCAAGGCTGTTCGGTGGGAGCAAAGGCCAAGCTGAATTTAGAAATTAGGAGCAGGAGAATAACACCAGTGACAACAGAATGCAGGTGAGGTATTTAGAATTGAAAAGCATTACTAATTAATATTGAAGTGCCATTTGTGACTTGCAGTACATTAACAAAACCACTCTGAAACACTATTTAAAAAAAAAAAAAATCAGAGTAAAGCAGTGCTTAAAGCCAGGAGACGATGGTCCAGTGTCGACCTCGAAGGGAATAAGCAAAGCACGTCTTCACTGCACGCGAGTTCCTGCAAGCATAGTGGCAACAAAGGAAAAATAAAGAATTTTGCTTTTAATGCTCACAGAGGACGATTGATATGTGATAAATCTTCTTATAAACTTCCCGTGGAAGCCTGAAGAAAGAAAATCAATAGCCAGCATTTCAGCGTTTGCACCTGCTGACAGCGTTATTTGCTCAGTTTTCCTCCCTTGCCCGAAGCCCGGGAGAACACTTTCCTGACAGCGCCAGCGCCAGCCCGCGGCGTGGGGGGCTGCCTCCCCTTTATGGGCTGAACTCCTGATGACTCTTGTTAATGAATAGGCTGCCAAACTTCCTCGGAGAGGAGGCACACGCCTGGGCCCAATTCTAAAGGGACTGACGGATGCCATTCACTCCTCATTATGGAGATGCTGATTCCTCGGCGCTCGGCTGTTGCCAGGGCCGTGCGGAGCGCGATGCCGGGCGAGCGCCGGCCGGGAGCGGCGGGGGCTGCGGGAGCAGCGGGATCAGGGGGAGCAGCGGGATGCGGGGGCTGCGCGCCCGTCTGGCAACAGCCCCTCCGACACGGAGCTGGCACGTGCTGGCGCAGCGGGAGCGGAGCCAGGCGTGACAAATTGCTGAAAGGGCTCAGCGACACCGGGGGCTGGCGACCACCTGAGCCTGCGGGCCGGCCGGCAGCGCTCGATTCATCGCCCGGCCCCGGCCGGGGCTGCTTGTGGGCTTCCAACCAGGCGGGGGGACGAGAAAAGACTTKTCATGCTCTGTCTGATAATGCCCTGCTGGGTACCGAACGGCCCTGCACATCTCCCGAGCACCGTGCGGGGCTGCGCCTCTATGGATAAATGCTGCATGGAAATGCAGGGAGGACGCGCTGCCCAGGTTCGCTCTGCACCCAGTAAAGTCCTATTGATGAGCTGGAGGATGCTGCTCACCACACAAGAGACTGGGAAAAACCGCTTGGACAAACAGCTGAGCGGTTACAGGAGAGACAGCTGAGGAACAACACTCCAAGATCTGGAGAGCCCTGCAGATCCACCAGCACTTTGCAGACACGCACGGAAGATCCCAGCTCAGCGCCCCTCCTGTGCATTGAAAAGCCAAATGCAGTGGGTGCAGACAGCCCCAGTGCAGCAAAGCCTAGTGCTGCACATCCCAGCTCCCATCGCCGGCCACCTCATCCTGGTGTGCTCCCCGTGTCCCTTCAGGGCTCCCCGGAGCAGCAGGAGCACAGCAGCTCCTGCCATACGGTCAGCGAGCAGGATGCCCGTGCATTTTTACTCACAGCTTAATCAAAAAAGAATTAAGTGACTGCAGGAAAATGACATTAAACTCCCTGCTATCTCTGTCTCAGTGCATATGCAGATTGAGAGAACAGTTTGGATTCATTAAATAAGTCAACTAAAATTTTACTGAGGTTTAGTCATTTGAATGTGGAGGCATAATGAACAAGACGTAAAAAAACCTCTGAAAAACACCTCCATCTTGTAAAAAAAGGGATCACGAAGTTTCCTATTTATCGCCCTGTAAGAACGTTGGTGTCCCGAAAATCCCTGGAGCAATACTTCTGTCAGAGGTGCATCACAGAAACGTGCTGTGCCTACAACCTAAGAGCCAAATATCACTGACTTACAAACATTAGAACCTCACGCTGAACCTCTTTAACTTGAACTTTGTGTCATCTGCGAGCTTAAGGCAGAGCTCACATGACAGCAAGGTACTCCCAACACCAAACAGAATTTACATCAAGTGCCACATAAACTACCGGTTTAAAAATCCAACCCACGGATCAGCAACCTCCCAGCTCTGGGCAGGGCTGGGTGGGAGCCCTGTGTGCGTGGCTGCCTTTCCTAGAGCAGCCTCAGGGCTTGAGTGCTGCAGGGAAGCACACAAATCCGCTGCTGCAGCAGGCCTGGCTGCAAAGGACTGGTTGTGAGCTTGAACCCTAGCCCGGCAGAAAGCTGGACAGCTGGCTGCCCTGATTAACTAAGCCCCCTGTTATCTGGGGGCTTGGGGCATCCCCTGAGATCTGCAGATAAATGGAGTTATATCAGACCCTCGAAGGAGCTGATCAAAAGCTCCTCTTTTAATATGTACGGCAATTTGACCCACCCCTCCATGGCTGCATTATTTTACATTTTGCTTCTTCCAAGGCAAAACTCCAGAGCAAAATTTTTTAAACAGATACAAACAGGGTGGGTTTTTTTTTTTCATTTCATATGAAATAATGACGTTGAGAGCCATGACAAGGTGTGAATTATTGATCATGAATATATATATAACTGTGGGAGAGCAGGAATTTAGCTTGTATTTAAATACAGCAATCAAATATYGATACTTGAGTATTATGAGCTTCTAGTAGAATTTTATCAGTATATCAATTATTTTAACATTCCAGCCACACAGTGCAGGTTGTTTGAAAAAAAAATCAACACATTAAAATGAACATCAGCTATTTGCAAAAAGCCGCAACAATTTCTTGTAGCAGCAGGAGGACCTACAAAGTGAAACATRCAGGACCTCCCTCCAAATGGAAATTCACCGCAGAGGCGGGTACCACCCAGCACTCACTCTCACCCACCAGCATCACTCCTACATTTAATCTCTACAACAAGAAGTCTATTTCAGACACACAGTTTAAAACACAAAGACCTTGAAAACCTTCCCAAGTCCTCCTATTTTGGGTTCTGCAGGGGACCTGAGCCATCCTGGGGCCAGGATCTGCCCAGTGTTTCCTCCCTGCACGCACACACACACAACACTACACCATAACTGCTCTGTTGAGAAACAACGGAATATACAAGATGATGACTCAAGCAGATCCTGAAAATACAGAACTTTTGCTYATTAACCTTAACTCCATGCTGACCTCAGGCAAAAGTCTCAGGRCCCCACCCCTGCTGACAGTAATGGCCAATGCATCCTGCCCCATGCCACTGTTTAAAAATAAAAACATTTTGGCAGAATTTATATACCCTCACCAATACGTGAAAACAACGGYACGCTCTGCTGACACAGTAGGAAAATGAAAGACAGGAGTGTTTGTGGACAGGCTGGGGGAGAAGTGCCTCGCTGCTCTCCACAGCCTGCGGGTCATGCCAACACCATGGGGCACCAGTCCCAAGACTGGCACCCAGAACGCTGCTGGGGTCCATGGAGAGCGCTCGCTGCAACGCCTGTTCCTCTGGCTCCAGAGGGATGTTAATGTGGACTGTTGGCATGGAACTGCTGCAGCTCCCATCTGTGAGGTGCAGCCCACCCAGTGAAGGGCTTTCGGGGCATCTGGCCAGTGGAGAAGCTGAAAGTATAGAGGCAGACAGCTCTTTCCAGCCCATCACACATCAAGGTTGGCTACATGACCACATGCCAATTCCTTCTCCACCCAACTAGGMAGACCTGCAGAAAATCTCAGAATTTACTGTTCAGTGCAACAAACTTCCATTTCAGTTTCCTCCTGATTGTATCATAGGGCTAAAAGGTGGTTCACGAAAAGGGTTTGCTCCTGACACTGTGATAGTGGTTTGGAAAACAAACAAGAAAATAAATGTTWGGGACTTACCAATGCAGAATAAAGCCAGGGCCATAAAACTGAGCTTAACAGAGATCTGTGGGATGATGACCTTTCTGCACCTAATTATCCTTCCCAGCTCTGAAGAGGATGGAGTTACTGTGCTTTTAAAATGTGGTGCTAGGCAGTTTTGGTGTGAAACTCAATCTGCTTGATTAGACTCTCCATCATTTATGGTCTAGTGACCGC